AAACCCTAAACCCATGATACGCTCCATTCCCATACACGGCAGGAATTCTCCCCGACATCATGCACTTAGCCCACCTGGCTATTTTCCCCGATGTGTATATTTCGGTCTTGCTGGACCTCACTGATGAATGCCAGAAACGGGACTCAAAGTTGACCGAGCTCTATGAAAATGACCGTGATTGGTGCGAGTCCCAAAGCAACTCTGCTACATTATTATAGAATTACCTATGAAAACCATATGAAATCCAACCCTGTCGATCCCAGGCATCAGCGACAGGGCCCGAAAGAGGCTCTTTACGAGCAGAACATTGAGGCCATTGGCTCGCGAGTATCGGGTGATTTCGCAGAAAATCCTTAGCGCGGCGGCGAGTCGGTACTTGATGTTCTGGCTTGCCAACTACCTGTCGGGATTGCTCACGAACTCTCCCGACGATGTGTTCCTCCAGTGCCCAGACTTTATACCTAGTTGTGCACGCTGGTGTGTGTTTGTTTGCACGGTGCGTGAGGAGAGAGAGCGCTAGATAGAGAGATCAGAGAGAGAACGCAACATGCGCAACAACGACAACATCAGCTGCACAGCAACTTAACAAAAACAACAACCACAGCACTACACAACCACAACAACAAACAACAACAGCAACGAGCACGACAATAGCCACGGCAGTGGCAACAGCAACAGCACCAAACACAAACAACTACAATAACAATACGAAGCTAAAGCTGAAAACACACAAACTAAATAAGAATAATCTTCGATAGTGAAAGAGTTCGAAGCTGATAACCACCAACCATATAAGCACAGAAATGTGATTGCCCAGCGAGAGGTTCAAACTATAAAGACGATACAAAAATAAATAACTATATGTATATATATATATGTATGTACATATATGCCGTTCTTCAGAGAACTCGAGACCTGAAGACAATCCACCAATCACTAAACATAACAACCCCCCCCGAATCTAAGTTTATTGATTTCTCCCATCTGAGGCTGCGGGTTGCTGTCTGCCTGGGCCTCTCCAAGATGGAAGAGCTCATGCTTTCTCACGGGCCCATTGGCTGAAACAGCATTCTCTATGGCAGGATTTGTAGATCCAATCAAATTCGTAGGGTATACTATCAAATTCAGTTCTTGTAAGTTTGTTAAACCACAAATTCGTAGGTACATAAATATATGAAGAATAGATGACACAAAACCTAAATATATACTATACATAAAATACATTAAAACCGTAAGTCCTAAACCGAAAAAACCCCTAAACTTTACGAGTATAGTCAACACCTTTAAACCGTAGAGGCCCCAGACCCTGTATCGCAAGCCATGGTGTTCGACACTTGAGGCGACACTTGCCCGAAGACGCCGCGATTCAATTCCAGAATTATTACTTGCTTTATCGTGCTGCATACAACAAGTTATCTCAAGAGGCTCTGGATTGGGGTGCCACTCGGTGGCAGGTTCGTCCAAAGGACCACTACTTGGAACATGGGGCATACGATCTGCGAGGGGTGGACAATGGCTTGCTGAACATGCGGTTCTTCGCAAACTATCAAAACGAGGACCTGGTGAGAAGAACCAAACACATGGCCCTTAGGAGCCATCAATCGTGCCTGGCAAAGCACGTGATCTTCAAGTACACTCTTCAATTTTCGATGGCTTGGCGCTGAAAACCAGTTCAAAGCGCTGTGCATATATGAGTTGCTGTTGTCTGCCTGCACGGGATTGTTATTGCTGGCTGCATGCAGTTAAATGCCTTGGATGTATGTCTGCTCGAAGGGCGAGGATCGATGTAAGCACCATGGGTTAAAGCATCATCTTTCAGAACACCATTTCGATCTATATATACCGAAGAATGAACTATTCATATATGTTACAAGATACAATTTAAAGAGGATGCAGCGCTATTTGGAGCTGATCCTTGTTCTCAGAATATGTCGCAGATTCTGGCTACTTGTTGTCTTGCAACGCTGGATTCACGGGAGATCATGTGCAAATGAGGCGATGCAAGAGTACGAATTCCGGCATCTCGCTATCAATACTGGGGTTGTATATAACCCTAAACCCTAAACCCTAAGCCCTTATATGTTGAGCCCGAAAATTGTTATGTTCGACTTCCTGCACACAGCTGAGGATGTGAACCGACGAATGGGCATATAGATGACTTGGTTATATGCCGCTAGGTCCTAATATTATATATATGTGGTTCAAACATATTTCAGCATTTGGTGTTACCGTTTTTTGTGTATACACGAGCTTTACAAACATAGTTTGCGTGTATATGGTGCCACCTGATCGAGGCTGCTATATGAGAGGATGCCGGTATACAGAGCTTTGCGAAATGGGTCGCAAAAAAAGAAGATGTGTGGCTGGGCCCGATGCGCAAACGACAAGAAGCATTCGGTACGCACGCCCATGCGCATCGATTAACTCCTGACCTTATCGATTGTATATACATATATATATATAT